CAATGGAAGCTTCATTGGTTGTCCACCCCTCATGCAATAGTAAGAGGCGATGACCGATACTTCATTGAGCTTATTGGATTAAAGGGCGTTCAACCATACACTCCTCTTCGAGTACTTCGCCAATTTGGGCGAACTTAAGTAATACCACTCCGGTCTGACATGGAACAGTTTAAGTATGAATTTGGGTTGGATAAACCACAAGTCCACAACATACTTCGAAGATGGGAGCGGGTGTTGACCATTCTTATGGGTGCACGGCAAGCCTTATGTACACGTGAGTATTACATATGAATCCTAAAAGAGGTTAAAGACAGAGAATTGAGTGGGGAAGGATACTATAGGCTCACTGATGAAAGGGAAAACATATGGGCACATAACGTGTTGAAGATCGGGATTGAAGTCATTCCCTATACAAGAAGTCAATTGGCGCCAAGCTCTTGGAACCTATATCTTCAAGATTTCAGAATTTAGGATGGCTTTCCCATTGTTACCCCTTGCCCTTAGTTTATTTTCAGTTTTTGTTTTTCAATTATGATGTATTGGTCGAATTTTATAATAAATAAAGTTTGTTTATTTCCTCTAATCTAAACTCCAAATTGGCAAAGAAGGCTTGAATTAATTATTGTGCATCACTTATATGTCGTCTTAGGCCTACCTCTGGAACAACGATAGTCCTTGCATTTAGGGCGTTTATCTTAAAACAATGTGTTTGTTAGCTCAATTTATGCAACGCTCTAACTTGGGTGTTGTTTTGCTTTTACTTTTGTTTTACCCTTCCCCAATGGTTGATCTGTAGACCATGGTTTACTACACGCGATCAAAGGACACTCTTCCTTCTCTTCCAAATGAGAACCGCAAAGGGAATAGGAAAGCGACTAATGAGAAGTTTATGAGTAAGACTATTGAAAAGAAGGATCCTTCAGACAAGTTGGTCTCAAGCCTGCAAAAGAAACTAATGGAATTAGAAGAAGAAGTGTCTGATATGCGCGGTTGGTCCAAGTTGTTACTCTCTGTCGATCCCACTCTGGAGACAAACATAGATAAGCCGCCTATCACAAGTCAAGCCACTCTCGAAGATAATCCTCCACCCACTCACCCTACACCAACTTACCCCACTTCTCAAAATCAACCAAGCTCTATTCAAATGCCTCCAAGGAACACTCACTTTCCAAATTACCCATATCCTCCTCAACATCATGCTTATGCTTCTAGACCTCCATATCTTACTCCAAGTCTGCCGAGTCCTCCCTTACAAGCTCCTCAATATCAAACACCTCTACCCCAAGTCCCTTGGTATTGTGCGCCGCTCATACCATATCAAATTCCTTCATATCAAACGCCTACATATCAAAAACCTACTTATCCTATTCACAATGTCAAAACCCTCACTCAAAAACATATTCGCAAACATCTATTTAATGTTGAGAAAAGGCCCATCAAAATTTACACTCTTTTGACTCAGCCTATAGATCAATTCTATGAAAAGTTGAGGTTTGCTGGTCACATCGCTCCTATCAGTGGAATAGGGATGAATACACGTGCAAGGTGGATGGAACCCTCTAAGGTTTGCGCTTATCACTCAGGGATGAAAGGACATACCATAGAAGAATGTCATGATCTGAAAAACAAGATTCAGCATTTGATTGATACCAAGATCATATGCTTGGAGGACTTCGCGCCAACGGAATCCCAACAGTGAACATGTTGAAGCTCAATTGAAGCAGTTTCCAATAAGAGGTTTGCGTTTTTTAAGTTTATGTTTTCTACATTCAGGTACCCATAGTAACATATGGGAAATAAGTTGGTCAGAATCTATCATTCAGTTACTACTCAAGAAGGTTCTTTTAAATGTCTTGCTTATGCTCTTTGTAATTTGGGAACTACGCAGACCTGATTCCCGTTTAAGAGGGGATGCGTAGGCGCTCCTATTGTAGTTCGGTCTTATCCTAATTAAAATTCCATTTTCCCCTTTTGATTGTGTAACTGGGGCAGAATTTTTGAGACTCAATTTTTGAGAGAGTCTCAAAAATTCCATTAGAAGAACATTTTTCTTACAAGTGATGATACTGGGGCAGAATTTTCGAGAGGAACTCAAAAATTCCTTCAAAAGCATTTCTTCTCGCAAATCAGTAATTGAGGCAGAATTTTTGAGAGGGTCTCAAAAATTCCTTCGAAGGCATATTTTCAACACAAATCAAGACTGGGACAGATTTTTTTTGAGAGGATCTCAAAAAATTCACAACAAATCAAGCTACAATCTGCAACGAAGATCAGAATAATAAAAGTTCTATACTGGGGCAGAAAATTTTGAGGGAACCTCAAAATTTTGACAACATCGCAAAGATCGACCGTCGAGCAGACATCAAAGGAATACATTGTGCCAAATCAGGGACACAGATCAAACTCCCCTTTAACTAACTATTTTTCTTTGAATGCAGAAAAGACAGGTACATATACAAGAAGCAACTTCAACATCGCTTGAAGGATCAACACACCACTATTTTGAGCCTGACAAATCGGCAGTAAATGGCACCCCATCATTCTAATCAGACGGAAGGAGCAAGCCACTTTACGTCAATCCAGAATAATCGCCAGTCAACGGCCTCCTGTCTTTACTATAGGATGGAAGTTCAAGCACAATACTCTGAGCTCAAGAATCGCCAACAAATGGCACACTATCCTTTCAACGAGCCAAGGGCCAAACTATTGAGCCCAAGTCACTAGTCATATGACACACTATCCTTCCGATAGGATGAAGCATCAAGCTATTATATATTGAACCCGACAATCGCTATTCAACGGCAACCTTTCCTTACTATAGGACGGAGGGTCAAGCTACAACACTCTGAACTGAAGATTCACCAACAAATGACAATCGACACTTCCAATAAGAAAAAGGTCCGAGATACTTATGCCCTCAATCAACTACTTTGCATTTGTGCCCAAGGATTGCATTATTGCATATGCCCTAGATTGCATTGTGCCCGAGATTGCAGGTGCCCAAGATTGCATTGTGCCCGAAAATTGCATGTGCCCGAGATTACATGTGCCCGAAACTGCATTCTGCCAGAAAATTGCATATGCCCGAGGATTGCGTTATTACATGTGCCCGAGATTAGATTGTGCCCGAGATTGCATGTGCCCAAAACTGCATTGTGCCCAAAAATTGCATGTGCCCGAGGATTGCATTATTACATGTGCCCGAGAATGCATTATCCGCGAAATTGCATTGTGCAAGAATTACATTATGCCCGAGAATTGCATTGTGCCTGAGATTGCATTATGCTCGATATTGCATGTGCCCGTTGTTACATGCTGCCCGATATTGCATTTGTGCTCGAGATTGTATTTGTGCCCGAAGATTGCATGTGCCCGAATTACATTATGCCCGATGATTGCATATGACCGAAGATTGCATTGTGCTAGAATATTACATGTGCCCGAAGATTGCATGTGCCCGAATTGCATTGTGCCGGAAGACTGCATGAGCCCAAGATCGCATTGTGCCCGAGAACTACGTGTGCGCGAATACATCTGTACAGATTCACTACTGAATCAAGCCACAAGATGCTCAAATTACATCAAAACATATACGCTCTCTTTACTCCTTACTTATGTTCCGAAGGCGTCATGATCTAAAGGCAACCTTCATGGCCTGCGGACATCATATCATGGCCTAAGGATTTAATTTTTGTTTATCATGATCCAAAGGCATCATTTTTCATGGCCCGCAGACAACATTTGCATGACCTGAGGATATATATTTTTGCGTATCATGGCCCTAGACATCATAGCCAAAGACATCATTTTCATAGTCTTAAGGCAAACATCATGGTCGATATGGGAAATTGCATCATGTTTACTTTTAGCATTTGTTTAAAATATTTGCTCTAATCATATTACAAGCTACGGATTTGCAGAGACTAACATTTTGCAGATAGGATATTTTTCACCTTTCAGCTACAATTATCGTGCTTATATCTACCGCAACAAATTCCCTATCAATTTCTTTGCTACTCGTATTACTGTTTTCATTTAACCCTTAGCTATTCATACTTACTGCTTTTCACTCAATCCTTGCTTAAGCTGGAAGTCTCTATGTCATGCTCTTCTCGCTACTCTAATCCTATCCATTCAAGCCAATATCGTTCCCATTCGAATACCGTACCGCTCTTTCAATTTTTAGGAGTTTCGTTTGCTCCTGAATCTAGAACTACACACGACCTGATTCTCGTATAACCAGAGATATGTAGGTCACTTAATACCAAAGTCTCGGTCGTACCCCTCTTCAACCTTATATCATTTCAATTGATCCCACTGACATTTCTCGTCGGTCGGACAAAATCGGCTACTAAGTCAGCGTTGGTTACCCGACAATTCATCTTTCATTGTCAAACAACCAAGGAGAAGCTGTTGACACCCAATTTTGACCGACCTTTAGCAATTTCGGGAATGCTATTCGATTAGATATGTATTTTTTTAAAATATTTTGAGTTTAAAATTTTAATTGATTTTGTCTAAAAACGATATATTTAGTATGCATGCTTTATAAAAATTATTGTAAATACTATTAAAATATTTTTAAAATTATTAGTAAAACTCGAAATAATTCAAATGTCTTAAAAATTTAAGTGACTTTAATTATATAAAAATATTATAATATTTGTAGTATTTTAATTGAATAACATTTCTTAATTTTCCTCAAAATCATTCAAATTATAGCCTATTTTATTCTAATTCATTCCAATTCTAGCCTATTCTATTCTAATTCATTTCAATTCTAGCTACATCAATTCAAATTCTCATTTCAAATATAGCCTTTGTTGATTTCAATTTTAGCCTATTCTTATTCCAAAATCAGATTTAATTCTCTTTTAATCTCAACCGTCCATCCTTTAAGTTAAACCCTAGATCAATCCTAGCCGCTCATCTAAATTGATCCAACAGTTAAGATCAACTCCCTTTTTCTTTCCTATTTTAAACCTAAAAGGACTCCTAACCCTATCACTTTTGACTTCATTCTCTTCCTCTCCTCTCTTTTAGACCGCCACTCCTCCTCCTTTCTTCTCACCAGATCACCGCCTATGGCGAGAAGAGCAGCCTCCAGTGAGAGGTAGCGCCGCTCGCTCCCTTCTCCTCTTCCTCTCTTCCTCCCCTCCTCACTCTCCTTTTTCGGATGAAACAAGCAGCGAAGGTTGCTGTCCGACCAGCAGCTCCAAGACCTAAGCCACCGACGAGCTCCATGAACACCAACAACAACTGTCAGGCGAGGCCATGGCGAGCAGAAGCTCCAGCTGGTGAGAACAACCAGCGAGCTTCAGAGCAGCGCCATAACCAGTGAGACAGCAGCTCCAGCCGGCGAGAAACACCAACAAGGTAGCGGCTCCGGTGAGCCCTACTCCTTTCTTCTCTCTTATTTATGGCCAGTAACTCCAGCAGATGAGCATGGTGAAATAATGATAATGGAGTTTGCTTGGACCTCATCTCTTCGGTTGGTTTTAAGACGAATCACAACAGATCCGTCTGGGTTAGTTTCTCTTTTAAAATTTTACATTATAGATGCTTAATTTGTCTACTCTTATGCATGTTCTAGATAGATTTCGTTATGAGCATTAAACTAATCATGATTTGCCGATCTTATGGACTATTTCTTGTTGATTTTCTGAACTCCGGAAGCATGTGTATTTTAGCTTTATCAAAATGTCATTATATTCTGATTTGATATAAGTTTGATGTATGTTTGCTAAGCACTATTTTGGTGTTGACATGCCGTTGAATTTTTAAATTTTTGTTGATTCTTGGTTCAATTTGTTAAGTTTTGATATGACAATTGATAAATTCTCTTAGATTTGGCTGTTCTCCTATTTAAGTTTGATTATTTTTCTTCTGTGAGGATATTTTTTTATGAATTGAATTGTGATCTTTAATATCTTCTACTGATATATAATTATTGGCAGGTTTTCTTCCTCCTTATCTAGTTATGGTAAAATTTATTAGAGCAAATAAGTCTTGTGACTTGATTTGAGCTGTTATGATATTGTCTTTCCTTAAATAATAAATTGCTCCCTTTCAGCTGATGATGTGTTTGTTAGTTAACGTATTTTAGGTGCCTTATTCATGTTTAGACAGATTGTTACTTGTTTATATTTGGTAAAAAAAAAGATTACTAACAATCTGATTTGGCTCTCCTTTGAAATAAGGAAAATGTTATATTAATAGATTCCTTAAAGTATTTGTTTCCCTTATTTGTACCCCTCTTCTAATATATAAATAGGACCCCTCCCTCATTGCTCACACACTCTCACATCGGAACATTTGGCTTACACTCTAAAAAAAAACACTAAAAAATATATTGCTCTCTACTCTAAAAAAAAAAAGAAAAAGAATTATGTTTTTCCGGCAAACATCAAAGCTCCTCTCTACTTGCTATTTTGCTGTGTTCGGGTCGGTTATTGGATTAAGTGTGGATCTTCATTGCTATTTTCTTTTACTGCATAACTGGTTAGTATCTTTTATACATGTTTAATTTATGTTCTGCATCGCCTTAGTTATCTTAAGTCAAAAATTGGGTATTAATAAATAAAAGAAAGCATCCGGGTCAGTTTTCTTCTCCCCTATTATGTGTGATATTATATTTTGCTTGAATGAATTGTTTGTTCGAATCTGGTGTGTATTCTCTGAGCTATTATGTAATTAGTTTGTTGTACTATCCATTCACTCTTCCACTTTGGTTTAGCAGGCTGAATTTATTTCTGGGAGTTTGAAGAGTTGCCTGGGATGGGTCATTGGGACAAGATTTTTTAAAAATAATATTTGTATTTGCTATTATGGTTCTGTAATATTTTTTGTTGTAAACTCTAACTTTATCTATATATATATGAATAACTTGAGGATCGTCTAAAGGGGAGGAGGGGAATTACGTGCTAACTGTTTAGTTATTTACTTCATTTTATTTACGTGTGATTGTTTGAAGGTCTACATTGGTTGATCACACAAAGCCTTGTGAGCATGTTCAATTATGTGTCCGTGTATACTTTGTTAAATCTGGAATTCCTTGCCAACGGCTAAAAATAAAAATAAAATTATGTGGTAATATTTGTGCTATTGTTTACTGCACGCTTAACTAACCATATTTAGTAATTTTAAGCATGTTGATAATTTTGAAATAATTAACTCCAATAACTTACGCATGTTGAATCAAATTAGAATAATTTTAGCCCTTTAATTAGTTAGTGTTTATAAAACCTTGTTTGTTAATATTTTTTTTAGCATGCTAATAAATATAAAAGAAAGGAAAATATGTTGTGTCTGTCTTGATTGTTATCTGTTAATGTGATTTGTTTAATTAATCGCTGAATTATTTTACCTAGAGTTCATTCCTATAGGTTTTGTCTGAATATCATTATCATTTTCAGCATGTTCTACTTAGAAATAATAATCATAAGAATTATTCTTACTTTACATGTTTTGGGCTTAGAAATCATGTATATAGGTTTAAAACTTTGTTACATATTAGATAGACACCATGCCTATAGAATTTAAATATCGCTCAATATATCATTCGTGTGTAGAAATCATGCCATTAGGTTGAAGATCTTGTTCTTTACTTAGAAATCATGTCCATAGGGCTTAACTAATAAAATTGATGTCTAAATAATGTCCGTGTGTTTTAATAACTCAAGCTTGCCATTTAATAAATCAAATTCTAATTAATTTGCCAATAAAATTTTAGCATATCAATCACTTAAGACTGCATGATTATAGGCTTCTAATAAGCTCTTGATTGTTTTCTGCTCACTGCTAATATTTTCTGCATTTGTAACATATTTTGCCACTTAAAATAAATTAACTAGTTGCCAGCATGTTATTTAATATCTACTCTATTTGGTTATTATCGCATGTAATTAATCAACCAGCATGTTAATCTCTTAGATAGCATGTATATAGGCTTCTACTAATTTTTAGCATGTTTTTAAAATAGAAGTAAATCTGTTATGAATATTCTCTGCTCAAAATAGGTATTTTCTGCAGTAGTATTAAAATCTGCTACTGTTTTTTGCATTTACTACGTGCTTGTCCTGATTAAAATCAGCTATGGATTAATTTCTACATTAATAATTAAAACTGCTTCTGTTTTCAAATATTTCTGTATGTGTGATCACTTTTCTGCTATAGTTTAAAATCAAATAAAAAAATATGTTATGTCACTAATTTCTACCCCCCTTTAAAATCAGTTGAACACTAATTTCTGCATGAATACTTGTTCAGTCACTTAAATTAATTTTCTGCATCTGCTACTTGTTCCCCCCGATTAAATCTTACTCGATTAATTAAGTTGTGCACTGTTTTGCCAATTAAAATCAGCTACAAATTAATTTCTGCATTTAATAAACGGACTGTTATTTAAAATATTTCTTTGCATTAATAATAAATATGCCATTGTTTCTAAATAAATTTCTGCATTTGTAATCACTTATCTACCACCTTTAAAATCAGTCTAATAAGTTTTTTGCACTTGTAGCGACTTTCTGCTCTCCCTAATTAAATAATTATGTGGTCAATACCTATTTGTATGTACACACTTAGCATGAAATCCTTTCACATTAGTTCTGTTTGTCAGCATGTTTAATTAAAATCTAGAGGCCAATATCAGACCCTATGTGCTAAATGCTCGTCTTATTTGTTTTACTTGGTGTCTAGGTGGGCCTATTAGGAATCTTTATTTTATTTTAGACTAAATCCACCCTAATAGTAGTTCAATGCCTCTTGGACCTTAAGCGGGGACACTAGGCACCTTTTAGAGATGAAAAGCATGCGGTGGTGGGGTAGGGGTAGTTTAGGCCCTACGGAGATGATGACATTGCCTCGAGTCGTAAACGACAAACATTTGTTTTGTCTGTCCCGAAATAAAAGGCCGAGCACTGATTCGTAAAGTCTGTCAGAGTCTCCCCTTCCCTTTTGACTTTTATGTGTTTTTTATAATTATAAATATTTGGGGTAGTTTAATAACAATAAAAAAATTTGATTCATTTTTGTCTCCTCGCTCCTCTCTTTATTAATTGTTTAACTGTTTATTATATCACCTAGTTTTGCATGCTTAATTATTTAAATAATGAATAACTGAAGTAACCTTAATTGTTAAATTTCATTTATCACTTAGTGAGCATGTTTAAGTTAAATAACCTAAATAATGAAGTGACCATAATTGCTACTTGTAACCCCCACATAAATTGCATAAGATACGGCCGGGACCTACACTTGTGGACCTTGAGGGATGCCTAACACCTTCCCCTCGAGGTAATTTGAACCCTTACCCGATCTCTGGTTCGTTGACCTTAGTTAGATTTAGTTAGGTTAGATAGGTGCCCTAACGCGCCTTAATTCGTTAGGTGACGACTCTTCAATCAAATCAAATCATATCCCAAAAGAGTTGTTGGGTCGAAAGTCCATTTTAGTGAAAAATGGGGCGCGACAATGGGGAAATGTATTATGAAAATAAAAATGTTTCTTATGCTCTGTATGACTATCCTTGGGCATTTATGGTACCTATTATCAACCATTTAGTTGATTTATGATATCCTCTTATTTATTTGTGTAGTACGTCACAGACTCTATTTATTTGTTTGTTGTTCTATGGATTCTTGGATATATAAGGATTTTTCATATCTTGGAAAGTATGCCTGGAAGTCCTTGGATACTCTATTGCCCATTCCCCGTTTACTCAGATGGTACACATCAAAGAGCGATAATATAGTTGAAGGTGATTCATTTAAGTACAAAGGAAGAAGTACGAAGGTATACACTTATTTTTTATTAACTAACAATATTTTTAAATAAGTGAACATTATGTAATATTTATATTCTTTTTTTAGATTGTGTACCCATACCTTACCCCTACTATTCGTGAGATGGAACAGAATTACATGACAACATTTAAGCCATATTAAGATGGAGTGAAGGACATGGTCATCAATGTCTTCAATACCCAAATGAAAGGTGTGACCACCCTCACTTCAAGAGTAGAGAGTGTGGATGATGAATATTTGGGTGTTCACAATACTATCCAACCTTGTGTAATTCTGTTTCTAGTAGACAAAAAAGTGTACCGAGTACTTCTAATAATGGAAATTTGGGAAATTTGAGTGATCGTGTTGTATCCCTTGAGCAATTAATGGTGGAAGTTGTTTCTTATGTACGGAAAGAAAAATTGAGTAGAATGGAAAAGAATAAAAAAAAAACAAGAGAAAGGTAAATTAGTATATATATTTTTAGTTTCAAGTAATTTATTCCTATAATTTTGTTAAAGTAATACAGTACATGTGAACATTATAACAGTTGATGAAGAGCTTGCAACAGTTGATGAAGACTTTGCTATAATTGATGAATATCTTACAGATAAAGTTAATGAAGTGGAAATTGATGTTGTTGATAGAGTGGCAGGTGATCTAGTTGATGAAGTTGCAATTAATGCAGTTGATAAAGTGACAGGTGATGTGGTTGATGAAGTGGCAGTTGATGCTGTGGCAGTTCATGCAGTGGCAGTTGATTTATTTGATTAAGTGACAGATGTTGTTGTTGATGAAGTGGCAGGTGAGGTTGCTGATAAAAGGGTAGTTGTTGAAGTACTAGGTGATGTAATGACCCGAACCGTTGTTATTTAGAAAAGGAAAAATGTTGGCAGAAATGGACCACACTATCCCGCCAGATCGGGAAGGATGCCGCTAGGCTGGTGGCGCTCCAGCGGGATATGGAGCACCAGAGCGGGAAGGTCGGGGACAAAACTTAAATGATGGAAAGTCTTATTTTCTCTTTTTTTCCCAAAAGAGGCGAGGATCACCCCAAAAACACTCAAAACGCTGCTCTAGGCTTGGGAAGGAAGGAAAAAGAGATTTCTAGCGTAAGGTTGTCGATAGCTTGCAGATTCTGGCAAAAATCCACCGTCTCACTGTCCAAAAGCCTGGATTGGAGCTATAATCCCTCTGCGACTTCTTGGTGATGTTTCTGTAATCAACGACACAACTTCTGATGCAAGTGTCTACGATTGTGCAACAGTATAATAATCCAACCAAGGGTTGGGGTGGACTTCCAAGGGAGTGGGCGTGAAAATTAGTGGTTAAGCACAAATGTGCTAAATCTAATTGTAGCTAAAGATTTTAACGATTAAAAACGTTGTAAGTTAAAGGGGAACACAAGAGTGTCACTTAACAATGGGGGTTTTTGTCACTAGTAAGTAACAACAATAAAATTAACAAAGATTTCTAAGAATGAGAGAGGATTCTTGGGATGTTACTAGAAAACAGGTTAATCTAAATTATTGGCTACATGCTTTCGATAGAAAATTTGTAGAGTAATAGCGACTAGGCTAAGCTATATGTTGGAATAAATTCTCTCTCGAGCAACTTACCTCGTTTCAAATGGGTTCCTCTCGGACACCTACTTGCCGCATGAAGACCAACCTACGCCTTACCCCACTCACTCTCTCGAGATGAGTGTTAGGATATGGGACTAGGGCTCACCCTTTCGGGCTGAACCTCATGTTGACCCACTCATTAGACCATCAGTCTAGCGGTTTTGGCTTCGCGACCTCTCTTTTGAGCAAGTCGAAAACACATATGTGGTTTTGTATTTTGAACTACAAACCCATTAAATTAAACCACAACCACTAGGTGAAATCACCCTTAAATACATCTAACCTATCAGCAAGCAAGACCCAACAACAATCTTAACCTATATTTGCTAAATCACACCCCAAGAATTGGGGTTTTAGCCACACATGAAGAAATAGAAATTTATACCTTCAATGATGTTGAAATCAAATGGGTATGAAGATTTTAAGTCTCAATTTAAGCAAGGAGTGAAGAATCCAAAAGACCCGCTTCCAAATTGAAAGAGATGAACCATCTTCTT